TAACAGTATTTGCAATAAAATTCAATGTGTATGTATATATATATGATATTAATGATCAGTATATTTCTTGTTTTACAGTGGAAATGGCGATATTAACACGCGAAAACGGCAAAACGAAAACACGAATATTGTCAGCGAGTGAAGTAGATGCCTTGATCGCGGAACATGATCGATTAGAAGCATTGGCGGAACAAGCGAAGAAGGATAAACAAAAGTTGTGAAATTTTATATTAGATAAGAAAAGAGATGAATAAATCGAAAAATATAGTATAGTGGCGAGGTTTATTTTATTAGAAATTTAAATTTTTGTATTGTGTACTATAAAAATTATCTCTTCTTGCTACACGTATTTGTATGCATTTGTATACACAGAATTATTTCTTATCAATAAGAGTGTCATCATTATTATAAAGCAACAAAATTATATAATATACTTATATACTATATAATTATATACTAAAAATTTTCTTTAAGTTATTAGATATGTTTGTACTCCTTTTTTTCAATATTTCTTTTATCTTTATCATATAAACATTGAGATTTAACAATTCTGTATGTTGCCAATTTCCTCATAGACAATTCCTGGTCTTTTTTCTTTTAAAAGACAGAATCAATACCATTTTTAATGATATTTTAGAACAAAATTTAATAATATTAATACAATTACTAAGGCACAATTGCTGGATTATTTTTACCTCAATTCTCACCGCATGCGGACAGCGCCTGACGCTCAATGCTAGTTGCGTATGAAAGTGAGGCATAGACCCATATTCTGAATCCTCTTTTATCGATAAAAGTGCTTTAAACATAGTTTCTCAGTTAATCAGGTGGCTCCTAAGCCTCTTTTAGAGGTTCATTTATCGTTAAAAGAGAACTCAGAATATACGCCATTGTGACGAGCGCTAGTTTCGCACACACACAGCGATCGATTTGCTACTGAGCGACGCGTAAGCTAAAGTTTATAAAAGTGGACTAAAATCTATCTGAAAAAATCAAATTTGTCGCAGAAACGTAAGGGAATATTTAAAGGATTATTAGAAAATAGAAAAAAAAAGTGCAAAAGTTATGTGTCGGATCATATTAACCAGGCTGCCAATGCGGACCCACTCCCGGGCGCGATCCCACTACTGCCCGCCACGGAGACTTTTGGCTGCTGGGTTTCCCCTCTGGCCCGGTTCGCCTCTCCTTAGCCAACCTGGTCACCACCGGACTCCTCCAGGGTGCCCATATTGATGGCGAGCTTAGTGCGGACGCCCAGTCGACGTGAGCCCTGCACCAGCAGGAACCCCCGACCTCAGACCCTCCAACATAACCAGCCTCCGAGTAGCCGGATTACAGGAGCCGCCACACTCCCAGCTGACAGACACGTTGCGAATCGTCTACATCTGGTATCGAAAAGCTGGGTCAATCCGAAATCCACTTAATAAAAATTGTTTTCACAATAACACCTTGCGTTTAAGAGAGAGAATACAAGTCAACATTAAGTTTGCACCCACATATTAATAAATTCGTGAAAATATATGACACGTGCAATGTGGTGATGATACCATCGTAGGTATTGCAGAGTGGTTTATATCACCGCTTAGAGCTATTAATGTCGATAAGGCAGTGTCCTGTAACCTATTGTATCAAGTAATATTAAAGTAGATTTTGACTTTACCTAAGTGATGGTAATGCTTCTTTGCAGTGCTGTGAGTTCGGAACTTTTGGTGTGTTCACTTTGGGCGCTTTGCGCTGTAAGCGTCATTCTATCTTTTTCCCGCAGGTAATGAGCGATAAAGACAGAATGACGCGTAAAAGCTTAAAGCGAACGCACCAAAAGTTACCCAACCTCGCAGCACTGCTTCTTTACACGTGATTTACACGTGTTCATTCATTTTGTACATGTGCAGCGCACTAGCTTCTTGTAGCTAAGTCAACCGAATTTTATTATATATTTGTTTATTTCCCATAAATCGTAACGGTTAGTGTTTAATTTTAAGTAATATAACGTTCCTCGAAATTTTCTGAAACAACAAATATTAATTAATATTTAACTCAACAAATACTAATTAATATTTAACTCAATCGAAACAAACTTATTGCAACCTAACCTATATTAACATTCTTTATTTTCTAATTAATATCTTATTATTACTTAAAATACTTTTAGATGACATTGAAAAGTTTTCCTAGAGGAGGAAAGAAACTTGAAATTAAGAAATCTTTAAATGTGGTATGTATTTAAGAAATTTATTTTTGTTTCACATGTTCTTATTTTATATGTGATTTAAGATGTTAAATTAATAACCGTTCCTAGATTTTTGTATTTAAAACTAATATAATATTTTTTCCGGTCCGTCGACACTTGAACGATCTCTCTCCTAACTTGATGCTTTACATAGCGCACGCCAAGATCCGATTTTACGTTGTTAATGGCGAGAAATGAGTGCGGCATCATTCCGATTGGAATGCTGAAATCTGTGGTCGAGACTCCCAAAAAAGAGACACAGCCGTTGTCTAGCGCAAATAAAAAATTGAAGAGAAAAATGCAATCTTGTTGCCCGCGCAACAAGATACGGCTTTAACGAGTGTTATACTTAAGAAACCAAAAAGGGAAACGACGACTGGTGATGGTGTTGGCAGCGATAGAAAACTCAAAAGTAAAGCAAGCAATATTGATAAAACTGCCTATCTAAAGAAAAGTGAGACCAGCAGACAACTGCATAAAGTAAAAACGAGAGAACACAACAGAAACGTAAAGAAGAAAAAGAATAAAAATAGAGATACAACTAAAGAACCAACAGCCAAAGAGAAAAAGACCAAGATAAAAGATATAAATGAGATCTCTGAAGCAGAGGAGACTCTTCCGACGAAAGCGATGCAGAAGACAAGTTATCGACCACAAAAAGATCACATGTTCCAGAATGCGGGTTTAACTGGGACAATAAACAAGCTCAGCTGTAGTAGCTGTCAGCGAGACGTCCAGCGATGATGAAGAGAAGACCACGGATGAGCCGAAGCGAAAGAAGAAGAAGCTGAGCGCA